GACGCATGCGGGCGGCAGCACTGGGGCCTTCGGCGGAGCTCCTTATGGGGCCACGAAACGTGTGAGGGGTGTGCCGAATTGGGTGTGCGTGACGCATGCGGGCGGCAGCAGGCACGACAGACTGGGGCCTTCGTGGAGCTCCCTATGGAGCACGAAGCGTGTGAGGGTGTGCCGAAATGGCGGTGGGTGAAGCAGGGGCGGGCGCGGGCACTGGGGGCTTCGGTGGAGCTCCCTATGGAGCCACGAAGATTGTGAGGGGGTGCCGAATTGTGTGGTGCGGACGCCAGTGGGCGCGGGCAATGGGGCCTTCGGCGGAGCTCCTATGGAGCCCACGAAACGTGTGAGGGGTGGGCCGAATATGGGTATGGGCCTCGGCGGAGCTCCCTATGGGGCCACGAAACGTGTGAGGGGTGTGCCGAAATGGGTGTGCGTGACGCATGCGGGCGCGGGCACTGGGCCTTCGGCGGAGCTCCCTATGGAGCCACGAAGCGTGTGAGGGGTGTGCCGAAATGGGTGTGGGTGACGCATGCGGGCGCGGGCACTGGGGCCTTCGGCGGAGCTCCCTATGGAGCCACGAAACGTGTGAGGGGTGTGCCGAAATGGGTGTGGGTGACGCATGCGGGCGCGGGCACTGGGGCCTTCGGTGGAGCTCCCTATGGAGCCACGAAACGTGTGAGGGGTGTGCCGACATGGGTGTGGGTGACGCATGCGGGCGCGGGCAATGGGGCCTTCGGTGGAGCTCCCTATGGAGCCACGAAACGTGTGAGGGGTGTGCCGAAATGGGTGTGGGTGACGCATGCGGGCGCGGGCACTGGGGCCTTCGGGGGAGCTCCCTATGGAGCCACGAAACGTGTGAGGGGTGTGCCGAAATGGGTGTGGGTGACGCATGCGGGCGCGGGCACTGGGGCCTTCGGTGGAGCTCCTATGGGGCTACGAAACGCTGTACTGGGTGGGTGAAACGCAGGGAAGAGGGGGGATGATGATGATGATGATGATGATGATGATGATGATGATGATGATGATGATGATGATGATGATGATGATGATGATGATGATGATGATGATGATGATGATGATGATGATGATGATGATGATGATGATGGCAGGAGGGAGGGGGCAGCGGGAGGAGGAGGAGGGAACGCGGGGCACCGTCTCTTCAAAACGAGGACCCAACACCACAGGATGGTTGGGAAAAAGCATAGCCAAACCAGGTCCAAAAGGAATACATAAAAGAAATCGATACATCGTAACCGGATTATTTCTTAAACTATTCTTGAATCTCCCTCCTGCAGGGGGACCTGCTCGACTTCACGCCGCGCTCGCCCGACCCACGCACGGCGGGTCGAGCCGGCCTCTCGGCTCCGGGGGCGCCTCGGCGTGCGCCACCCCGCCCCCTCGCTCCGCGCTTCCCCCGCGCCGGCCTGGCCAGCCTGCCGTGGCGCCCCGCGCCCGTGCGGGCGGGGGGCACCCCGCCAGGGTCTCAGAGACACCCCTCGGCTACACGCGAGAGTGACCCTGGGTAGAAGAGTGACCTTTGGTGCACGGCTTTTTGGGCCGCCCAGCTCTCGACCCGCAGACCCAAAAAAAACAGTGCGCGGCTTTTGGGGACCGCGGGGGGGGGGGGGGGGGGCAGAAACCAGCGCGCAGGCCGCTGCTGCCGCCTCTCTCTCGGCCATCTGGGGGCCCGTCCGTGCCCGCACGCAAAGGTCCCTCCGGCGACAGGCCACTCTTCTTACGCCTATAGTTGAATCTCCGCTCGGCGTGCCGCTTCGCCCTCGTCTCCCTCGCCCCGCCGGCGTGCCGCGAGGAGCCCGGGGCCCAGCTCTCGGCGGAAATCCGGCGTGCGCCTTCTCCGGCACCTCGCCCCGGCTTGCTGCCGCGCCCGACCCCAAACGCTGGGCGCGCGGGCCCGCGGTCCGCATCGGCGCGCGCGTTTGTGTGTGCGTGTGCGTGTGCGTGTGCGTGTGCGTGTGTGTGTGTGTGTGTGTGTGTGTGCGTGTGTGTGTGTGTGTGTGTGTGTGTGTCTGCGATTGTGTGTCTGTGTGTGTGTGTGTTTGGTTGTGTAACTCTTTCTCTCTCTCTCTCTCTCTCTCTCTCTCTCTTTCCGCGGACCGACCGCCGCTACCGATTCTCATCAAGCAGCGAACGACTGTCTGGTCGGAGCTGCCAGCGGAGCGCCAGCTGAGATACGCCGGCGGGTGAGGCTCCGCTTGCCCGCCCACAAGGCGGTGCGGAAGGCGGGCTAAGCCTTCATCCTCTTGTGCGTAGCATTAAGTCGGGCCTGTCCCCCTACAGGGGGATTTTGGACGACAAATAAACCATAGTCAAAACCTACACTAAACTATTCAAAAATAGTAAAAACAAATCGTCCCCAGACTATTGCTGGAAACGTTCCTCCTGTAGAGGGGCAGGCCCGACTTAAGCGCAGCATCGCTCCGATGGCCCCCTCCTTGGACCGCAGTGGCCTGCGGTGGCCCGCGGTGCGCTCAGGCAGGGGGCCACCGGCTCGACACCCCTCTCTCGCTGGGGGCACCCCCGGGACCCCTCGGCCCCTCGAGGCCTGGAGCAGAGGCCGGGAGCCCTCGGCCCCTCGAGGCCGGGAGCAGAGGCCGGGAGCAGCCAGCAGCCTGGCGCCCGCCTCTCCTGCGCGCCGCCAGCTGCTCGCTCGGCCCCCCCCCCCCCCCCCCCCCCCGACGGGGCGTCCCGCCTGCGGCTGCGCGGCCGCTCCCAGGAGACCGTAGTGCGCCAAATGCGCCTGGAGCGCGGGCGGGCATTCGCGCCCGGGGGAGGAGGAGGAGGGGAGGAGGAGGAGGGAAGGAGGGGAGGAGGGAATGAGGAGGAGGAGGGAGGAGGAGGAGGAGGGGGAGGAGGAGGAGGAGGAGGAGGAGGAGGCGGAGGAGGAGGAGGAGATTACCAGGAGATTACCACTGAGGACCAGTGTCCTTGCTACTTAAGAGGGTGTGCACCCACATCAGAGAAGAGATCGGGCCACTTCAGGCGCCCCCTGGGGGCACGGGTGCAGGCCCTTGGAAATCCGCACGAGGTTGCACTGACCCTTCTTGGACCGCGCCGCACCCGTGGCGGCGGGCCCGCAAGGCCGAGAGAGGTGGCGTCCGTCAAGGGTCGCAGTGAAACCACATAACATACAAAAATTCAAACTCATGCGATCCCAGGACCAAATCTGATGTCCAGGGTCAACCTTTCGGCCCCCCACCCACACCGTCCCCGACTCCCGCCGAATGGTGACCCCAGACATGTTGGGGGTAGTGGCGGAGGAGGAGGAGATGGGAGGGGGGCGGCACGGCCTCCTCGCGGCCGCCTCCAAGGCGGTGTCGGTGGCGAGCTCGCCACAGGTGGAGCACCTCCACCTGCCACCTGCGCGTTGGAAAGCATGCGTGGAGTCCCGCAGCACCTGTACTCTGCGGGAGATGCGCTGGCGTGGCACTGCTGGGCCCGCCCACTCGCCTTCCCAGGGATCCACGGCGGCAGTGTCCTGGAGAGCTTGGGACGCACGACGACGGACGAGCCAGGCAACTACGTCTAGCTCGTCCGTCCTGGGCACTTCCTTATGCTCGGTGGCTAACTTGAACCCGCGGGCAGCAGAGTCACAAGCGAGATCATCAGCCACGGCGTTTCCAAAAGACAGGAACGCTTGCCAGAGAGTGCGAATTCCTCCTTCCTCATCTTCGAGGTGGGAGGGGGTCCAAAAAAACACGGACAGGATGAGGCCTCTGAGAGTACGCCTGACGAATCCTCTCCCACAGGTCAGAGTTTTGCTCCGAGGAGGAGGAGGAGGAGGAGGAGGAGGAGGAGGAGGAGGAGGAGGAGGAGGAGATTGGGAGGAGGAGGTGGTGGAGGATGACGGAAGGAGGAGGAAAGGCGGGGGGTAAGAGAAGAGGAGGAGGAGAGGAGGCCGGAGGAGGAGGGGAGGAGGGCAAGACGGAGGACGGAGAGGAGGATTGAGAGGAGGAGAAGGAGGAGGAAGAGGAAGAGAGGAGGAGGAGGAGGAGGGGAGGAGGAGGGAGGCGGAAGAGGAAGGGTAGGAGGAAGAGGAGGAGGAGGAGAAGGCGGAGGAGTAGGAGGAGGAGAAGGAGGAGAGGACGAGGAGGGGGGGGGGAGGAGGAGGTGGAGGAGGAGGGGAGGAGGAGGAGGAGGAGGGGAGGAGGGGAGGAGGAGAGGAGGAGGAGGAGGAGGGGAGGAGGAGGAGGAGGAGGGAGGACGAGAGGAGGAGGAGGCGAGGAGGAGGATGCGAGAGAGGAGGAGGAGGAGGAGGAGGAGGCGGAGGAGGAGGAGGAGAGACGGGGAGGAGAGGAGGAGGAGGAGGAGGGGATGAGGAGGAGGAGGAGGAGGAGGAGGAGGACGGGGAAGATGAGCAGGGTTGGCGGGGAGCGGCCTGCCCCGTCAGCGCCGACCCCCACCAGCGCCTGGCCCCCACCTCGACCGAGACTCGCCCAAAAGTTCGGCGACTCCGAAGGGCGTGGTTTGCAAGGTATGTGGTTTGCAACTGGCGCCCTGGGGGGCATCCTTGTGGGCGGGCGGGGATCTCGACTAGAGGGCAGAACATCCAGCCCGATAATAACCACCCCGACACGCGAAGCCGTTTAGTAAACGCGCCCAAAGAAGGAATCAAACCTGGCAGGGCTGTTTAGTAAACGCCCAAGGCCATTCAATAAACGCCGATTGTCCGGTCCGGGTGTTTTTTCCTCCGAACGGCGCCACTGGGGGGGACGTCCGGGTGTGGCAGGGCCAGGGGTGGGGTTGGAGGGGGGAAGTGTCTTCCTCAGGCTGGCTTTGCTCCCGAACCCCACTGCTGGATGGCCTCTGGAGGGGTGGGGGGGTGAGCGGGAAGTGTCAGCCTCAAATTGTGTTTGCTCCTAAACTCCACCTTGGGCTAAACCTCAGACATCCGACGTCGCGCTTGTTCCACCTCGTGGCTGCCCAGCGGTTTGGACCTCTTTCCAAAGACTGGCCCTAGATGCAAATGTATGTTTTGACGCTCCCCCCCCCGGCCTGGCGAGGGCCCCCTGGAAGCCGACAACGCCCAACAACCTTCCGTCGCGGTGTTCTGTTTGTCTCCGCGACGCGAGGATCACGGACCCCCTCTACTTAGAGAGGCCCGCTTCGGACGAGTGCAGGCATCGCATACCTGCCTTAGCCGAACCATCCGCGACGATAGTTCGGAGCGGATAGCTCGACAATCGGTGGTTGGACTGCCGATCTCTCGTACTCTACCTTCTGAAGGAGTCTGTTAGCGAATAGCTCGAGATCGGTTGAGGTGGACATCTCAGTGCGTACCCGTCGGCACGGGCGAAACGTGGGGGTCCAAAAACGGTGCGGTGACAGACTGTGCCCTCGAAATCTCCAGAGACCTCACCGCACGGTCCGTCACCGCACCGTTTTGGGACGTCGAAGGCCCCAGTCGCCCGAGACGCCCTCGTGGAACGACCCCAGTCCCAAAACCGTACGGTCACCCCGACGTCCCCACCGACTCACCACACGAAGTGGCCACCGCGCCGCTTGGGGGCCCCCGAGAAGAGCCGAAACGCCGTCAAACAGCACGCGCCCTAGGGGTGCACTGGCCCAGGGGGGGGCGATACAGCGCCCATGGATCGGCTATTGGGCCCCCGGTGGCGAAGCGGCACGCCCCTGGGCGGCGGCGGGCTACCGGGCCCCCGTCGGCGATGCATGGGCGATCGGGGGTCGAGGCCTCCTCCCTGCAGTCGGACCTGGGCCAGAAGAGCATCCTTCAAGAGCACGAGACCCTCTCTCGGCCAAGACAGGCAGAACATCCAAGGGTACCCTCCCCAGGATGCACAAGGGCATCCCGCAGACGCCAAGAACACTGGGGCAGCCTCCCCCATCTGGCCTCGATCTGATGCCTCGGCCCGACTGTAGCGCTGCCCTGGATCGGCCCCAAGCGAGAAGCAGTCAAGCAAGACGCGCCCCCACGGGGTAGACCGCCGACCGCGGAGGACGGGTCCGCGCAGCCCCGCTGCGCGAGGCGGTGCAAGCAGCCCTCCAGCGGGGCGGCGAGGCCCCTCCTGCCAGGCGGGGGGGCGCGCGGCGCGCGTCGGGGCCCGGGCGCGCGACCGGGGCAGGGCAGGGCGAGAGCTCGCAGAGCCCTGCAGCGACCAGCGGCAGCAGCTGCGCAGCCTGCAGGAGCAGCGAGACCGACCGTCTTGATGCCGCCGCCTGCCACACGCTCCCCGGTCGGGGCGCGCGACAGGAGCGGCCAGGAGGAGGAGGAGGAGGAGGAGGAGGAGCAGCAGGAGGAGGCGGAGGAGGAGGGAGAGGAGGAGGAGTCAGCAACAACGTAAGGATTGAGGGAGCGTTAGTGAGGGGACTGCCTCAGGGGCGGGGGAAAGATCGAGCTGGAATCGGCGATGCATCGCCGGTAGATCGGCGATGGGCGGTAGGCCCCCGATAGCGAAACCGCACGTTCTTGGGCGGGGCCAGTAACAAAGTGATGAGGGGGGAGGGGAAGGGGAATTACTCCGACGGTAGGACCCCGCATGAGAATATGTTGAAGTTGCCTGGGGATCTCCTCCTGCCCCCTCCCTTCTCCCACCTACTCCTGTATTGTATTGTATTGTCGGGGCCTTAAAGGCGAAAGAAAAAAGGACCGAGGGGCCTCCAGGGGCCTCCAGCGCCACCCGAGACACGCCCTCCCGAGAGGGGCCGCCTAGGGCCGCCTCTCCCCGCGGGGGCCGCCCTGGGCCTCCTCCGCGGCCACCAGGGGACGGCTGCCGAACGCATGACAAGCCGACCCCCCCTCCAGCCTCCTCCTGCCTCAACTCCTGCCTCTTCCTCCTCCTCTTGCCTGCTCCACCACCACCTCCTCCTCCTCCTTCCCTCTCCCTCTCCCTCTCCCTCCTCCTCCTCCTCCTCCTCCTCCTCTTTCCCTCTCCCTCCTCCTTTCCCTCTCCCTCCTTCGCCTCCTCCTCCTCCTCCTCGTCGTCTCTGTCTTCTTCTTCTTCTTCTTCTTCTTCTTCCTCCTCCTCCTCCTCCTCCTCCTCCTCCTCCTCCTCCTCCTCCTCCTCCTGCCTCCTCCTTAGGCCTCCTGCCTCCTGCTGGGGCCTCTTGGGGCCTCCCGGAACCTTCTGGGCCTCCCGTTTTTTTATGGTTTTTTTTTATGGCATTTCTCCTCCTCCTCCTCCTCCTCCTCATTGTCCTGTTCCCCCTCTGCCTTCTCCTCCCCTTCCTCCTTCTCTTTCTCGTCCTGCATCCTCCTCCTCCTCCTCCTCCTCTTCCTCGTGCGGAACACGACATTCAGGAACCGCATGACGTGCGTCCCAGCGGCTACGCGCCGGAGGATGATTTAGAGGAAGCGCGCGACGGAGGACGACCTAGAGAAAGCACGTGAGGTGCGGGCCCCATTGGGAGGGGGCTCCCGCCTGAGACTTCTCGCAGTTCACTTACAAAGGAGGAGGAGAACAACGAGGATGATGCTGATAATGATAATGGTGATGAGGATGATGCTATTGTTGTTGTTGATGATAATGCTGATGATGATGATGATGATGATCCTTTGGGCTCTTGTTTCTGCCAGCAACTGCAAGAGACTGAGCACGGGCGGAATCCAGCCGTCGATACCGCCGAACGAGGCACAGGCAAGCTCAAGTCCTGGGGTGAGAGCTCAACCCCAGAACATAACACCTGATTGAAAAGAGAGCGGTGGAGGAGAGGAGGAGGCGGAAGACTTGAGCAACCAGAACGGCGGCGGCCCACAAGATACATCGGAAACCCGTGAGATCACGACAATCCTTTGGGCTCTTGTTTCTGCCAGCAACTGTAAGAGACTGAGCACGGGCGGAATCCAGCCGTCGAGACCGCCGAGCGAGGCACAGGCAAGCTCAAGTCCTGGGGTGAGAGCTCAACCCCAGAACATAACACCAAACATGCTCCCGAGTTTGCAGAGCAAGCTGGCATCGCCGAAGAAAAGAGACTCACAAACCACACGATCGCTGTATGACCTCTGCGGAAGCTCTGACCTCGGCATTGTGGAAGAGACGAGCGAGGGCGACGCAACACTTTCGAGGGTACTCTGCCCCTCTCTTGGTCTTGAAACCTCCTGAGGGCAAAAAACCTTGCAGCTGTTCGTGAGCACGACCCGTACGAGAGCAAATGCCGCGCCTGGATCCTATGCACCGCGACTCACGGAACGGCCCCGGGTCAAGGTCCCCGAGGAGAAGGCCAGTATCCTTTTTCCAAGCCGCACCCCACTGGCACATGGAGGTGACGTAGAAAGAGACAGCGCGGCGCCGCATCAGGGCTTTGTAGCGTGGGAAGAGCCACAGCCGAGAAGTCTTGGGGTTCTCGATACTCCAGGGCACACGTAACGAAAGTGAAACACCAGCGAGATTGGCAACAAACCTGTTGAGGATGTTGGATACATCGACAATCGCTTGCAAATGAGGAGGGAGGTTCGGGAGGCCAAAGAGGTGGAGATCGGATCGTACAGGCGGCGCCCCGACCCCATGATCGCGGCACCTGGTCAGCGTGTTGCAAGGTACACCCGCATGCCAACCCCTGATTCGACCAGCACGGATCCATGACAAAAGCAGCGAGCGATTACACGGTCGGGCGAGATCGTATCTCTCGCCTAAAGTAGTGTCCCACATCAAAACTGGGATGCCCAGCTGAGCGACCGCCTTCGAAAATCCTGCTGCGCCAGAGAACAACTCTAAGATCACTGGCGGGTCGGGCAAACTGGCACCAACGCTGAGGGCAGGCCGTGCGACGCACGGCTCAGCAAGCGCGCGCAGGCCTCCGCGTGCTCTCGCTGCTGCCCTCCTAATTTGTGCAGCTGCTCGGTCAGGCGGCCTCCTTTTTTGCGTACCTGCGGACTGAGCTCCAGCTCTTCCAGCGCCCACGCCGCCTGATCTGCTCCAAGTCGCGCAGCCCTGCTGCGTAGTCGTGGCTTGGGCCTGAGTGGCGGAGCTGGTAGACGTGGCAGGCACCCAGCTTCCGGAGGCCGAGGGCGGTGACAGCCCCACGCCATGCGTTGGCCACGCTGCGCTGGTCGACTGCAAAAAGCGGCGCCCAGGGCGGCGTTCCCGCGCGGCGCCGCGCGGCGGCCATCGCCAGCAGCCCCGCAGCCAGGCCTGCCTGGCGCTCGAGGTCGAGACGGATCGCGGCGTCGAGCTCTCCCGTCTTCGAGACGTCGCCGACCTCCTGCGCGTGGAGCGTCACCGAGGTGTAGCGGTGAGCCCCTGACGCGGAAGGCGCCGGCGGCGCCACATCCTGCAGGCGAAGCCCGTGGATCTCGCCTGGGCGGCCGTAGATCTCGAAGAGGAGCCAGATCGCGAGCGCCTCGGGGGTGCCGCGCTGATGGGACACGTAGTTGACCACCATGGCGACGACCTCGTACGGAAGGGCCATTCGGCTGCGAGCTGGGGCCAGGTTGCGCCACCCCTTGGCGGCTTGCTTGGACAGCGGCAGCTCGAACTGGCCCGTTCTGGCATAGCGCGGATCGCGCCACGCCACCGCCGCTATCATACGGTTGGCGTAGGTCTGGTGATACCCCCGCTCGAAGAGATGGCGGATGTAGTCGCGGACCGCTCGGTCCATCTGAGCAGGCTCCTGCGTAGCCCGTCGATGCTGTCTCGTCCAGTTGTCGAAACCCACCAGCATCGAGAGGTAAGCCTGACGCCCCGACGCCGTGCGCACGGAGGCCGCGTTGAGCACTGGCATGCCCGCTGGCGGCTGGATCAGCCGAGCCCGCTGCTGCGGCGTGGGGCCACCGCTCGAGCCCTGGCGGCTCGCGGGCGATGCCTGGAGCACTGGCAGCGTCGGCGACTGCAAGCCAGCCTTGCGCGCCCCACGGACCAGGGAAGCTCCCGCCGGCGGCAAGCTCGCGGCCGCGGCTTGTCGCTTGCGAGCGCCCCCCATCAACAGCCCCGCGGACATGGCAGGAAGAGTGCTGACGAGGGCGACGAGGCAGACAGCCGACAACATATGGAAGAATACGTAGAGGTCTTGGGCCAGTCAGCGGCTCAGAGCGAAGCGGACCATGAGCACCCAAGACGTCCTCCAGCGAGGCCACTCCGAGGCCCTCATCGTGCCCGCGCTCCTCCTCCTCTACCACCTTCTCGCCCACCTCCTCGTGCGTGTGCTGGTGCTGACCCCGCCCTTGAGAACCGTGTAGTGCTGGTCCGTGCTGTCCTTGATCGGGCTCCCTATGGGGCTCTCCTTCTTCCTCACCTAGGTCACGGAGTAGCCTACCCTGATGGGGCCCCTGAGGAGGGTCGTGCTCTTTGGGGTCCAGGCCGACCTTGTACTTCGGGGTCTTGCCGAGGCCCTCCTTTAGAATGACAGCAGAAGGGGGGCTGGGTTCTCCTCGGCCTCTAGAGGGGCCATCCGCGACGTTATACTCGGACGGTATCCACCGAATACAAAAGGAGCTCCCAGACGCAAGAGACAGAGCCCCAATACGGCGCATGACCCCCAACATGGTGTGGCTGTGGGCCCGCGTCCGAGAGGCCGCCGAGACAGACGCGAGAGAATCTCCCAGGACAAGCATCCTCTTCCCATGGTTCCGAACGGCCCGTAAAGCATGCCGAACATGGTACAGGGCCGCCCGAGCTTCGAGAACAGGCATCCCCTCAAGGCGATCCCACTTGCGACGTCCCGTGACACGCCGCAACGACTTGTCCAGGTATTTCTTCGAGACCTCGGGGAAAGCGAGCAGGTCGCGCTCCACAGGCGGGCCGACGGGCTGGCTGTCCTCCGCCGGACAGCCAGGATCGAGCTGGGCCGCTACGATCCCCAGGTCACAG